GCCAATGTTTTCAGCCCAATGTTTGCTCAGTCACAAATGTATTATTATTTGTTCATTTATTAAATTTGTGTCTTAAGTTGGTTTTATTTATTATTTGTTTGCTTATTATTGTTATTGACGTGTGTGTGTGTGTGTGTGTGTGTGTGTGTGTGTGTGTTTCCTAGTCAGTCTGGTTCTCCCAACTACAAGGGAGAAAGAGGATTCCCAGGAACTTGGTACAATTATGCAATTATCTACGATGAGCAGAGATCTCTTTCCACTTAGAAACTTCAATAGTTGAGGACGTCTTTAGGGGCAGGTACCCCTCTCTTAAGGATAAGGCTAGAACAAAGCCTGTGTGTTACCATGGGATTTCCTCCCAAACGGTATCAGCACCACGAAGCTCGGGGATCAACTCTGTCGTAGACAGGAAGCAATATTAATCTTTGGCAGGATTCCCGTGGTGACAGTCTTGTTCCCTGCCAGGGAGTCCCTTGTCTTCATCCTGTTATTCTGTCGCCAGTGCCATCCTTCGGTTTCCCGAGGCCGGGTGCGCATTATTGGGTCTTCCTGGGTGCCGTGCAGTTACTGTATCCCAGTATCCCAGTTTTCCAGATGTGTGGAACGGCAGTTCCCATCGTGCCGAGGCCCCTGGAGCGGAAGAGTCTCTCGTACCATTAAAACACTCTTTTACCTACCTTCCCCGCTTTTCCGACCGCTTACTTCTTGAAAAGAAGTTGGGTTGGTTCCCCATCTTGTAGTCAACTAATACAAGCAAGTCCTCGTAGTTCAGCACACTACACCCTTTACTGCCACGTTGTGCTAGGAAGCCCAAAGGAGTGATTAACCCTCTTAATGGAGACACCGCTGGCCTCCCAGATCAGAGTGGCCAACGCTTCAGGATATTCTGTTGGATACCCTCTTAAGTATCTCCCACCGGTGCGGGAACGGTGAAAGAAAGAAACCCTTCCAGTCGGGAGCCCGACCTCGTTGGGGAGGTGGGGGGGGGAAGGCTCTTTGGCAACACTCGCCAATGGGAGCCCACCCACCCCCCGCCACACCTTGTTGGACTGTCCTCCCGGCGCGGAGCGCAGGAATGAAGAGCTGTTGTGAGGGGCTCTTCCAATCTTTTCAGACTTTGAGAATGGAGATTCGGGGAACCCCTCCCTTGCTGGAGAGGGCGCCAGGCAAAGGATCCAGGACTGAGACAGAGTGCGGGGGGGGGGGCTGGCGGCTGGGGGCAGCGTTGTGGCTCCGCCCCCGTGGTATCTGTCGTAAACCTGGCGCCGCCGGTCTAAAATAAACGCTAGCTAGAGAGAAAGGGAAGGGGGGGCTGGCGCGACGCCCCCCTTCCCTTTCCTCCTCCCCCTGCCGGGTTCCCGCGCGGCGGCGGCGGCGGCGCTCAACCCCCTTTTTCTCTGGACTCAACAGCAGCGTCCGCCGGGCGATCAGGAAGGGAGCCCAGGGGCTGCCCGGCGAGCCATGTCGCTCAGCCCCAAGCACACGACTCCTTTCTCCGTCTCCGACATCCTGAGTCCCATGGACGAGACTTACAAGAAGTTCGGCGCCATGGAGGGCAGCCTGGGGGTCCCTTTGGGCGTGGGGGTGGGCGCCACCGCCTACCGCCAGACCTCAAGTTCAGCCCTCCCGTCCCAGCAGCAGCATCCCATGGCAGGCCACAATACTGCCGCCTACCACCCCATGGCCCACGCGGGGGTCTCGCAGTTCGCTCACGGTTCGGTGGCTGGCTATTGCAACGGCGGGCTGGGCAACGTGGGCGACCTGGCGTCCTATCCAGACAGCGTGCGCAGCAGCACAGCAGCCTCCGGCTGGTATGGAGCCAACCCGGATCCCCGATACCCCACGAGTAAGCGGGGAGGGGCGACAGAGGGAGGGACTGGATCAGCTGGGGGGGGTTCTTTTTGTTGATCCTAGCTGGTCTCTGCAGCAGCTCCAAAGGAGGCCTCAGCTATGGTGGCCTTCTGTCTTTTCTGCCCCCCANCCCCCCCCCTTCTTAAGTTGTAAGCCGCCCTGAGTCCCCCCAGGGAAAAGGGCGGCATATAAATAAACTTTAAATTCTAAATTCTAAATTCTAAAATTCTATTAGTTTCAGTGAAAGTTTTAATATGGGCTTATCACTCTTCTGAGGCTCATATAAAATATTGGGGGCTTTCCCTGCTCCTCATCCTCAAAAGAACTTAACTCTTGGCTTGAGGTCTGTATCATAAGAGCCCTGAGAAACACAGGCCTAAATATATTATTGTGGTGCATTTTTAAACAATAGAAACACCCTCGTCTAGGCTGTGCCACTTCAAGCTGGAACAATGAAGGAAAGCTCCCTTCCACATCAAAAAGACTCTCAGGAGCTTCTCCCACCTGCCAGCTTTTCTTCTTGCCAGCATGTTTTCCACAGCGAAAGCAGATCAGTCAAGTGAGTCCCATCTGCAGACTGAAGTACTGGTGGCCAAACAATAGCTGCGGCCTACTGTTGTTGAGATGTTGCAAAAAAGTTGTTTCTAGTCAGAAAACAGCAACGGTTTATGGGAGAAGCCAATGCAGGCCATTCTAGGCGCTTCAGGCTGATTCACCCCATTAGCTGGTCAGGTGCGTTTAAGCCACGCACCTGGAATTTGGGCTGCGGTGGAGAAGAGGAGGGTGCTTGGAGAGACTGTTTTCCACGCGCCTAGTTCCCTCTCGGCCGTTTTAGTGGCACCTCTTCCTATTTGGGGCCCTGCTCCTTTTCAATGAAATACCGTATACAGCGGTGTTATCTTAAGTTTTTTGGGGGGAGGCCCTTCTTCACTTTTTGCTTAAGGGGGGGGGCAATTACAGCAGACGGCTTGCTTTCAGAACGAAGCGCCGCACTCGCAGGGCGCGCTGACCTCCGCGCTTCTCTCGCCTTGCAAGCTGAGCGCACCGCAAGCTGAGCGCACCATCTCTCACCACCGCCTGCAGCGTGAGCCTGGCCTTGGCAGTGTTTCCCCTAAGCCAAGAGTTGTGACTCTACGGTGGGTACTTGGTATCACCAGCGCTTGGTCTCCCGGCCTCGTTCTCTCTACTGCTTGCCCTTTGGCAACTTCGAGAAGGAACTTATCTTCCTTGGTTCATGCTGATAAACGAGAGCAGGACAAGGAGAATCTCTTACGGGTCCTGCGCCACTCGGTTTTGTTCTGTGCCCATGAATCGGCGTGAAACCCCTCCACCTACGAACGCTGAAATAGCTCTCCGTGGCAGCGGAGGGAACCAAACGGAAGGAAACACCTTTCCCAGCTCAGACCGGGAGCCCAGCATTCGCCTTCAGGGTCAACTTGTCAATCAAAAAGAAGCTAAAAGGGGGTGCCCGCTTTAAGGTCCGTCTGATTTAGATCGCGCAGATGGTTGACATCTCTCCAGCCACTGGCTCTCTTCGGCTGCAAGTTTCAGGAAGCCCAGCTATTTAATGGAAACTCCTTCTTTTTCTCCCGGGACATTGTTCACTTGTGCCGCGATAGGCAAAGCACTTTTGCATCCTCTACTTGGCTTTCTTCATCAGTGGTTGAATGCACCTCTCAGCCCTCTCCCTTTAATAAAAAAGAACCGTCTTGCCCAGATTATAGACAGCATTGTGAGTCTTGTAAAGCACGTGTCTTCCACTGCTGGTTGGGGAGCCAATGTTTTCAGCCCAATGTTTGCTCAGTCACAAATGTATTATTATTTGTTCATTTATTAAATTTGTGTCTTAAGTTGGTTTTATTTATTATTTGTTTGCTTATTATTGTTATTGACGTGTGTGTGTGTGTGTGTGTGTGTGTGTGTGTGTGTGTGTGTGTGTGTGTGT